TAACGATAAATCGCGTTAATTAAGCAAAGATAAGAGGTCTTAGAACAAGTATATATCTAGGGCAAGATTAGCCGTAGAATACGGCTTTAGATAGTCCTTTCAACTCTAGACCTATAGTGCCTTAGAATAACAACAATATATAGAAAGACAACCTGTTACGGTATATTATATAGTCGCTATACTGCTTACAAACTGTATAACTTGCGTAAGGAGGCGCAATTTAACTACTAATCGCTTTAAAACTATACCTCCGAGTATCGAAGAGTACCTCTACCCCTACGGCGGTATACCTAAGAACCCGATATAGGTCTTCTATATACAATTCCTTACTAAATATCCCCTATATCTGTTCCGGCCGTTACTCTCTAGCGGGCTCTGTGTCTCCTATCGTCCTCCTTCTATATTAAATCCGGGTGCTAAGACCTAACCCTATAACCCCGCGTTCTCCGCTAAAATAAGCGACGCTTAATTCTTATTACCCTTACCCTCTACCTATACTACTATATATATACGGCATCTATATATAATTATTTATTCGCTTATTTACTATTATTAGGTCTACAATATATCAAAATTTAGAGCAAATCGGTTAAGAAATAAGTATACAATAACTATAGAAAGGAAAGTCTACCCTAGCTCTGTATATTAGTACAGAGACCCCTACTTATAGCTTAAATCCCTTAAACTCGAAGCCCTCCGGAGCTAACTCTCTCGCGAATTCAGCTATTTCTGCGTTACTAAATACAGCATTTACTTACTAAGGTATATGCTAAGGTACGGAGACACCCTATAGCCTTGCCTACGCGAATATGTGCCCTAGATTAGTAATAGCAGCTAGTATAGCGGTATTCTATACCTTGACTTTAGCTAACTCGGACCTTAAGCCGGAGACTTCCTTACTACTACGCTTAGCACGCTTCTGCCTTTTAGTATAACCCCTAGCTATTAACGCTATAGACTCCTTAACCGTTATCTTCTTCTTTTTCTTCTCCTTTATCGCCTTCTTTTTCTCTTTATTCTTTAGTATTTTACTAGCAGTAGTAGAGGGCGTAGTAGAGGGAGCCGGAGAAGCTATCTCCGCGGTAGTAGGAGCCGGAGTTGCTAACGGTCTTCTAGTATACTTAATAGCAATACTCTCGGTAGTAGTAGTGTCCTTATCGTCCGTTATATCGTCCGCGGACTTCTTATAGTTTTTAGTGTTACTAGTATTACTGCTGTCGGTACTAGTAGACATAGACACCCTACGTTTGCTGCTTTTACGCTGCGTTAAGTTCTTCCTTCTACGCTCTGTCTCTATACTCTCTTTAATAGCCGCTTCTACGTCGATAGCGGCTTGCTTCTTAGTAGTAGCATACTCCTTAACAACTCGCTTAGCTTCTTCTATTGCTTAGAAGTAGTCGTCCTTATTCTCGCCGCCGGAATATATCTAGTTGTCGAGCTTGTATTAGGCATAATCCTTTAGTATACGATCGAACACCCTCTATAGGTTGCTATACTTCTTACGAGTCTCTATTATCTACGTATTACTAACCTTCGCCTAGAAGTGCGGCTTACTATACTATTCTTCTTTAGTAACTATATACCTTATAAGGCAGAGCTTCTACGCTTCTATATAACCCTTCCGGCCGATATTAGTTATTAGCGTATCGTCGTCTTTAAGATTAACCGCTATAACTGCCTCTCGCAACTAGCTCTACTAACGAGCCTGCCTCGCACTTTAACTTAATCGCGGAGCCCTCGGGGGTATCGGTAGAGCGCTATTATTGAAGCTACGGAAGTTAGTAATAGCTTAGTAGATAGGCTTAGATATTGTAGTGCGCTCAATCGACTATTAGAAGCAACTAGGCGTCTATAAAGGACTCTAGCTAAACTCGCGCTTAGTTAGAGCCGGAGTAGGTAAAGAATTAAGCTAGAAAGAGCCTTCTATAGCTCCTATAGTAACGGCTTCTTACTTACTTAGAAACTAACCGTTAAAGGCTTTATTTAGACTACTATTTGAACTATCTACTATTATATAACCGTAGCAATAGTAGACTCGATAAGTAAGACTCTTATTCTATACGGGTCTCGTAAAGTTACTTACTTAACCTAAGGCAATAGCACTATACCCTCTACGGCACCGACGATAACCTATTAGGCCTTAAGACAGGCGCTCTACGTATAGAGCGCCCTTAGCAAGACAGGGGTATATAGAGCCTGCTTACTAACTATAATCGATACCTTAGTATCCGTATTCGGTTAAAGGAGCGCTTTACTAACCGGCTACATACTATCTCTATTATTTCCGTCCGTCCGGTCGGGTTAGGACTATAACGTATAAAGGATTTTATTGTTCTAGTTACAAGTTACGGCCGAAATTCGTAGGAAGGAAGGACCTAGTTAGTTGGCTTAGCGTTAGAGGGCTAGGTCTTCGTTCTTTTTCGGTCGGGAGGTCGGTATATAGGTTATACTATAGGGGAAAGGATAGAGATACTAGGTTAGGTTAGGTTAGGGTAATAGTAATAGTGCTTCGGGATGTGTGTTCGGCTTGCCGGTAAGGATCGTAAAGAGTAACGTATATGCTGTATTCTAGCGAAGATATATAGGCTCCGATTTCTGAATGTTTAACTTCTTAGGACTAAGAAGATACTACTAACTTATGTGTAGTAGCGTTTCTAGCAAGTAATAAATAGACGATAAAGATTTTGCTATAGTTTAGATTAGTATACCGTAGTAGCGACAATTTTAGTCTTAAATACGTCGTAGAGAGGATACTTAAGCAACCTTAAAAAACGTTATAAATAACGAACTCGGAGACTTCTATAGTTAGTTCCGACGACCTAACTACTATTCTTATCGAGAGCCTTAAGGTAAGAGTATCCTTCTCGAGAAATATATCTATATTAGATAGTATATACGCTTTAAATTAGTTAGGCGCTATTATCTATAGAGTAGAATAGCTCTATTACTTATATAATGCCTCTCAAATATTAAAAAGTATAACTAATTTATCGTTCCTTCTAAAATAGGAGACTTAAGCTTAGATATATTAGCCTATATAAAAGAATACCTTTGCCTTCCCTTTTATATAATTTAATTAAGACTCCGCTATCTCTATTACCTCTATAAAGATAGATATCTATTTTCGGAAATAAGATTTTATAGCTATCCTAATCGCGTCTAGGATAATGCTTTAGTATAGCAAGTCTATTACTCTCTAAGTAGTAAAATATTAAGATCTACTATAAAAACGAGCGTAGGTCGTTTTAATCGTCGATAGTAATATTAGCGATTAAGATACCTTACCTAACTTATAGACTCTTTTAATATTCTTATAAATAACGCTTCGCTATTATATATAAAGTAGTCTACAATTACGAAATGCCTAGACGATCCTAAATATAATAAATACTAGAAGAAAATCAAACTTATATACTATTAAGATCCGAATATAGAATAACGAAAGCTAACGAAGTTATATAGTAAGATACTATAACTATTACTCTCGTATATATAGGCTCTTAGCAAATCTAGTAGAAGGCGGTCTTTTCTAATATATCTCTAGCCTTTTCTTAATAATATCTACGACGACGTTATTACTAGAATAGGATATAAAGGCATTAGGATCGCTAATTATTTCCTAGATACTATTACTTTATATCCTCTAAATTATATTATACTAATATCCTATTAGCCGCTTCGAGAAACTAGCCTACGAGTTTTATATCTAGTTATATTAATATTTCTCGAGAACTAACTCCCCTATTTATTATACTATTATCTGTCTCTATAATACGTACCTAGTAACCCCTACTACCGCAATCCCTAGTATAGCTAAATCTACCCTCTTACTTAAACTCTCTATAGTCTTATTCTCCTCCTTCTCCTCCTTTTTCGGAAAATCTATCTCTAAACTATTTAACCTAATATAAAGTATCCTAAACGACTCCTCCGTCTCTATATCTAGAACTAGAAGATATAATCTATTTACTAAACGCCTAAAATACGCCTCCTAATACTTAATATCTAATCTATTTGCCGCTAAAGAAGAAAAAATACCTAGGACCTTCGTTCTATTATAGAAGGCCGAGGAGACCTATATTTAGAGATATAAAGTTTAGAGTAAGGGGGAGAGTAAGCTAAAGTAAGTACTAGTTAGTTAGTTAGTTTTTAATAAAAGAGATAGGAGATATAAAGAGAGGATAGGGATTAGAGCTTAACTTACTACTAAAAAAATTAGAAAAACGAAAGCTAATTTCCCTTTATAATCTACCGATTTATAAATAGATTCTACTTTTAAAAAGATATAATATCCGTTTTTATCTTTTAACGAAGAATACGAGGCTTTACGAATTAAAGTAGTATATTCTTCTCTAAAGTTTATAAAATAGTAGATACTATCTAGGGTTTCTATACTAGTTTTATAGAAATCTATAGTATTTTCTAGAAAGGACTAGATTATATATAAAGTATTTAATAGAGTTAGAGTAGAAGTGTCGTTGCTTTCCCCTAGTAGTAATAGTAAATTTAGAGAGTAAACGGCGTTCGCGACTAGGGGGCTTGTATAGGAGTAATTTTAGTCGTTAAGGATAGGTTTTGCGTCGGGGACGGAGACTTCTATAATATTAATTGTCTAGGACTAGGAGGATTCGGAGTCGGAGAAGGGAGAGGATTTTGTAAGGTTGGGGGTTCGGTTTGCTTTGGTAAAGAAGGGTTGTGGTCCGGAACCTGTGCCCCAAGATGTGGTGTATTTGAATGCTGAGGTGGAGGGGATTAGGGTGGTGAGAGGGTTGGTGGCTTGCTTTGGAGGGAGGCGAAGTGAGGGTTTCTGGTGGTGATGCTTGTGGAAAGCTTCTGAGGGAGGTTTGGGGATTCAATGCCTTCTCTTCAAGGTCTTGTCAGGTACCAACGGCACGGTATCTGATGGAATGGGACGTCACGCCAAGGCTGTTGTAGGCATGGCAGCTGAATGATCGACAGGTTTCTTGTGGCACAGTGAATGGATTGAGAGAGGTGCCTGTCTTCCTCGAGATGTTCTCGTCACTATATTATCATTACCACTAAACATTATCCACTTTTGACACGTTATTTGCGCTTCATCTGAAGCAGTCGTTCCCTTCGCCGAAATTATGGCATATAGTGATTGAAGCGTTCCAGTACTGTAAATCCCAGAGCTTGTGGTATATGATCGTCTTCGCGAGCTGTGAACCATACCACTCGATTGCGTGTGGTGCTTCGGAACACGCTCTCCCACACCACTTTCCATTCCGTTCGATCAGTGAGATGATTTGCGGACTTGGAGGTTCCCAGGGCTGACCTATGCTCGTAGTCTTGGAAGACCTACGCAGACCAACCTTCAATACAAATCAGTCCACGAATTTCGATCATAATCTTTTCCTTCTCCTTACCATCACATTCCGACCGCTTCTCAAGATTGCCATGTCCTTGATGACTCCATCTGGTGCACGATACCAAATCTCGAACTTTGGGTGTGACAGGTTGAAGAAATTGTGGAACTCGTTGCGATTCCATAGCCACAGGAACGTACTGATGCCATCTCCTAAACTGAGGCCATCGATAGCAGTGTCTTCGTCGAAGGTGGTTGGGTCGACAACGTGCGGAAAGCCGATGGGACGGTTGATTGGTAGACCAGGGACATGGGTGTAGTACAATTGGCCCGGAAGATCAGATTCTAGATCTGATGTTTTCGTCTTGCTTGATCCATTCGCAGAGACGGTAGAACTAACCTCAAAGCGAGGCAGTGGTATGGGGAAGGGCATACTCGTCGAGTACCTCGCATTTTGAGGGAAACGGCGGTAGGCTGCGATTATGGTGCTGTACCGCTGATGATGATCTACGATGAACTCGAGGTAGCCTGGCAAAGTTTGATGATGCATTTGATAAGGGCACAGGCCTGCAAAGACTAAATGTATGGGGAAACATGGAAGAGCGATAACTCTGTTGCGACGGACAGCGCACAGCCTTTCAATTCCGGAGACCAACAGCTTTGCCTGGCCGTGATGAGACGTGATTGTGCTTTTCGGGAGTGTCTGTGAGCTGTTGGTCGGTCCGTGACATCAAGAAAGATAGTTAAGCGCGGTGGTTTTGCATATAAGGAGGACAGAACTTATCCGGGTACGCCTGCGTACATTTGATCCCTAACAAACTCTAGTGGGGACATCTTGAATTCTGAGGGCATTTCTTTATCTACCTACGCCCTTTATTATAGAGTAGATATTCTAGTCCGAAAGAGGGCATTCTGTTGCCTCTATTTCTTTACTAAAATCGCTATATCTATGTATCGCGTTGTCTCAAAAATCCAACTCGAAGGACTTAGAGAAATTCAGCTTTACTTAGGATGACTAACACACTGATAAGGGGAGAGTGGATCCGGTCTGTCCTCCTTATATGCATAACCAGCGCGGTGACCTTGTCGCGCTTAGCAATAATACATGTAGGTCCATACGGATTTTCAGACCATTATGTGACGTGAGTAGGTGAGGAGGCTCTCGAGTCTCGAGGCTCTTTTAAGTATACCCAGGGATATCCGCGTAGAGTCGCAGAAATGGTCCATAGAGGAATATTGAGCATACCACTGTGAACACTGATTAGGTCCATGAGCTTTAATAGAGTTTCTGGCTCGTGGTCCCGTGTCGCGCTTCGACAGTTCGACCAAGCGACCATGCGAAGGACAGGTCAAGCCATGCGAAAGACAGGCCAGGCCATGCGGAGGACCTAAACTGGGCATGAACTGCTCATTTCCTGGACAACTTTTTCCAAATTCTTGACATCATGCGCAAATCTTCCAAGGAAGCAGCCGTCGACGCCATGCTTCAGCTTTTGGAAAGTGCCAGGACCTGCTGAGCCGCCGTAAAGAATCCGGACGCGGCCTGTTCTGTTCTTGCAGAGCGCTCTGAGGTTCTGGGTGACAGCGACGACATGGTCTGCTCCCGCTGGCTGTGAAGCACCTATGGCCCACACGGGCTCATATGCCAGAATCACCTCAGCGTCGTCAGGTATTTGCGACAGAGCTGCTTCGATCTGCGGTTTGCATTCACTCACGGCAATGCCCACTGCTTGCGAGGCGATGTCGCTTTGATTCTTCTCGCCAATACAGACCAGAGGTATCATGCCATTCCTGACGACCGCTGCTGCTTTCTTGGCCACATCTTCATCCGTCTCGCCGAACAGGCGTCTACGCTCTGCATGGCCGATTTCTACAATCTTCACGCCGGCCTGACTGAGAGTCAACGGACTGACCTCTCCCGTATATGCACCCTCGTCCTCGCTGTAACAATCCTGTGCTCCCAACAGGACATTTGTCTTTGCCAAGCGCTCTTTCGCGGACAGCAGGGTTACGAAATCGGGAATGACGAAGAGGTCGATATCGGCAGCGTCTGCGGCGGCGGAGATGGAAGCTACTGATTCGATGTAGCGGAGGGTCGAAGGCAGGTCGAAGTACATCTTCAGGCTAGTACCTACGATGCGCTTTTCGCGCTTGCCATTGCCGGGGATGGGAGGCATGAAGCAATAGTGTTGACGTGGCGCTCTACAGCAAGCTTGTGGTCTTCTCGTTGTGATAGAGTGTGCTGGAGAGAGCAAAGTTGGCACTGGGCAGATCGACTGAGATTCGACTCTGACTAGAATACCGGATTGCCTTTCAAGGCCTTCCGGTCATGTTCAGGGATGTGTCGATCATTGGTGAGCCCCGATTTCTGCTCCCCACCGAGTCCCCAGCACACTCCGCTCCGCTCCGCTCCATGATGTGGAGAGCAGTGGAGTTCCGCTGCAGATGGTGACCATGTACGCAGTTTCTTAAGCCAGCATCCCATGCGCCGCGTGCGTCGGCCAACTTGCACACTTCATGGGATTCGCAGCATGACATCATCGGCAGGCCTTCCAGAACACGAACTGCAGCTGGTACAACATGCGATGTTCGTGACGAGGGCAAGTCGCGTGGCCATCTGATTTCTTAGTGTGCGCCTACTCCAGAGTCCAGAACGTGCATTAGACTTCTATGCGGAGAACTCTGGAGTCTTGGCCCGTTCTTCACCTTACCATGCCATGTTGCGAGGACTTCTCCAATGCCACCGCCAGTGCCATTCACCAGCATCGAAGACGTGATCAATAACAGCGAAGAAGCCACGGAACCAGCCCATCGGCAAACGGATGGCAGGCTGGCGACCATTGGGAAGAAGCGTACCAGGACCGGCTGCCTTAATTGCCGCCGAAAGCGTAGAAAATGTATGTCGACGTCAATGCCAGAAACATGGAGAACGATACCCATTCTCACATCGGCCGCAGGCGATGAGGTCAAGCCTACCTGTGAGACCTGCCAGGGACGGAATGAAGTCTGCGAATGGGGGGTCAAAGTGTCCTTTCGTCCTGAAAATGCCCACACCATGGCCCGCGAGCATCCCTCCATGAAACACGCCGCCTCGCACTCCAGAAACCAAAGCTATCAAGTATGCTGTATTGGGCGTGGCCTTTGCAAAGCATCGAACTGACATGGCCCCCGAAGATTATCAATATCACCTCTGAAGTCATTCGGGACTATTTCGAAGAGACGACTAACGACATCGAGGAAGCAAGGCTGCTGGACTCAAGTACTAGTGCTACCACTGCCCAGCCTACACCACGTCAGCATGCTCTCACGCTCAATCTCAGCAACCACACACCCACCCATGACCTGCCCTTCGAGCCCCTTGAACCAATCACGTCCATACAGAGTCACCATTCTGCACCCTTGAGCCTGCAACCAGAAGCCATAGATCTTCATGATGAGCTCAGCGGAATCTCCCAAACGCCAATCTTAACATCTCCTGACCTCTTTCTTTCGCCTCAGTATAGCGACTCGCAGTTTGACGACGGCATTTTCCTTCCAGGCTCCGAGTTTCAGGAATTGCACGCGGCTCTCCGAAGCAAAATCATTGACACCGCAAGATCGACAGCTCCATCTCGAATGTCTTCCCCCGACCACCACCACCCGGAATTGCAACGATCTGAGACGTCCGAAACGGCCGACGACGAAGAGTCGCGCAGACTTGCTCACTTGTCCATAGACCAAGAATACGTCCTCCTACAGAATTACATCAATGAAGTTGCTCCATGGCTAGATAAATTCGATGTTCATCGACATTTCGAGCTCGTGCTACCCATGCTCGCAAAGCGCCACTCACATCTGCGCTACTCAATCTTGGCATTATCTGCGAGGCAGATCGAACTGAAGGCACGCCGAAGGGATCACTCCTGCAGTCTGGCTCTTTATCAACATGCAATCCATCTACTTTCGCCTCTTCTCCAGTATAGAACGACTGAGATCCTTGCATCATGTGTGGTGCTTTGTGTTCTGGAGATGATGAGCTGTTCGCCCAAGGCGTGGAGACGACACCTGGACGGCTGTGCGGCACTGATCCAAGCGTTGGGCATATCCGGAGGCTGCGGCGGACTAGAACAAGCTTTATTCTGGTGCTTCGCTCGCATGGACATCTGCGGAGGTCTCATCTCCAGCGAAAGAACTCTGATCCCACTCTCAAACTGGATGGGACGCGGCAACATCATCGAAGACGTGAACATGCTGATGAATCTGCACAAAAGCTTCGACATGTACGCCAACCACATCGTCTACCTCACCGCACAAGTCGTCGATCTCCTCTGCTCGTCGGGAAAATGGGAACAACGACACCGCAACCTCGCCCATCGCATGGACGCTTCCGAATACCTGCACCAATGGACCCGCCTCTTCGAACTCCTCGATCGCTGGTGGGACGAACGCCCGGAAGAAATGAAAGTCCTCTTACACATCCCACCCCCGATCATGGACGAAACCAAACCTTTCCCCACCCTCCTATACGGCAACGGCCCCGCCGTCTCGGGAAACCAAATGTATCACACCTCCGCTCTCCTGATGCTAAAATACAAACCTTCGCACGTAAATTTCGCAGCAGCAGCGAAGAAACCTCGGAGTATCCTTTGGCACGCCCGCCAGATTTGTGCGATTTCCATTTCTAATGATAATCATGCGTGTTGGACGAATTGTGTGCAGCCGCTTTGGATTGCCGGGCAGCATATGAGTCATGAGAGTGAGCATCGCGCTATTCTTGCGATTTTGGATCGTATTGAGAGGGAGATTGGGTGGGCGACGAGGTGGAGGCAGGATGATTGAGGGAGTATGGGGGGAAGGTTAGTCGGATTCCGGAAGGGGGA